CATATCTAATTAAGGTTTCGTTATGAGTAGGCTTTCGAGACGACCAATAAATCGGATCTATGAGTTAGGTTCAGTCTATTTGGTTTAAGGTGATGAAGGACTGATAGTTTAATTTGCCCACAATCGTATGAGTAAAGCTGACGTTTGCATCCCCAAGATGAGAACATCTTTTTAGAAGTCAAGTATATGTGAAATTTAATATAAACGTCAGCACCCTTCATATTATTGAGTATACATGGCCAGTCTTCTCGACTTGGGACTTGCATGAAAGAATCCAATCTGCGGTGATATCAATCATATGGTGGACGAAATCTCCGTCCGTTTTGACCCAAAATGAGATAGTATATCTCGTGGACTGCGTCATCCTGAATGTGGAATTGAGGCCAAACAGCTGCAGAACAACGGAAATCAGCCGTCGTCTTCTGGAGAGATCGACTTTCGAATCCCTTTTGCATGCACTTTCATGCGAAATGAAAGTATCCACAACAGTGCCATCTAAAAAGTTCATCGGAACCCGCATCTTCTTTGAATATTCCTGCACATCCACATCCGACTTGTGACCAAAGGCCACTCACGCCAGTTTGGCCAAGTGATCAACGAGTCGAGGCAAATGCGAATCCTGTTGTAGATGCTGATAGGCTCCAGGCGAGGTTAAAACTGCCGGGATAAGAATAACTTTTGGCAGGAAATGTTGTGTGAAATCCAATGGAAACGTGAGGCAACTGTTAATCCTTCCACTCGGTGTCAAAACGACATGAAAGGATGACTGCTGCAGCCGACAAAAAACTGAGCCCATGCAAAGTGCAAGACAGATCAGTTGAGGGAAGACGCCTGATCGAAAAGGAGACGATCACAGCTTTCTATTTGATCCCGGAGCATAGTTGTGATTCAGATACGATCAAGAGGCTGTATAAAAGCAACAATCACAAGCTAAACATAATTATGAACAAAATAAATGAAGCCATCGAGCCAAATTCCAGCCCCATTCTGGGATGAGCATCGAAAGGCCTGACGATGCTCTTGTGGGAAAATTCAACTATCAGTTCTTCATCCCTTTCTGCGTCTAATGGCGAATAACATATTTATTCAAAAGCTACTGTCAGCATTGAATCAAATTCACTATGAATACCAATCATAACAATGGCTGCCACTCACTTTGTCGCCAAACGTGGTGAAGTTGGCCAGCGTCTGTAGGCTCTTAGCCAACAACGTGAGGTTGCGCTGGCAGCGAGCGTCACCAGGAAAAGCAGGAACCAGCCCAAACAAAGAGGGCGATAGAATGGCTGGACAGATGAGACGCAGAAAGAGGCAGGCTGAGATCAGATTATCGCAGAATTCGGCTCCGCGAACCGGCTCCAGACCGAGGCGGAAAGAGGCAAACACACGCCGCAGCTCGCTGGGGGCCGCAAAAGTGGATGAGGCAGCGCAAAATAAGATAGATCAGTTTGTCAGACTATGATGCATGTACAAAAGGTAGGAACTGAAAAGGAGCATGTTATGGATTCAACAAGGTAAGCTGGTCTTGGCTGCGTGAACCAACCACGAAACAATTATAATCTGTGTTGAAGGTATGAAGACCAAGATGGTGTGGCTTTTTGTGTGGGCGCAGTCTCCTTTCGTTGTATAGAAGTTGTTTCCCTTTGTTTTCGTAACTTGGTCATGTTGGTAAGAAGACGTAGAGAAACGCACCTTGTCCGGAGTCAATTGTATGCATCATCATTTCCAGAGTAGGATCGTCGACGTGGTACATTCCCAGACTTGTCTCTTTGACGAGTTGTAATATGATGCTACGAACGGCAAGAATCACTGACGATGCCGACTACGATGCCGGCGAAACGTATGGGAATGTACCAAATCTTCCTACCAACATGATCATGTTGCGAAAACAAGGTCAAACAACTTCTATAATCTTTATTGTCTTTTCAGTCCGAAAGAAAAGTCGGCTCAAAGGGATTCGTTGGTTGGTCTTGCAGAAAAAAAGAAGAAGTAGGATTGGTGTAGGAGAGTGGGATCGTGGGATTGTGTGAGGACTTCTTAGGCCCACAATCCCGTGGTCCTGATGACTTTACAATTTAACCATTGCTTTCGTGACTACCAGTAAATCAGTAATATGAGGTGTATTCACCTAATTTCGTTTAAGGTTATGAAGGACTGGTAGCAGAAGAATTTTCCCACAATCATACGATTTAAGCTGACGTTTTCATTGAATTTCACAGAGCCGTGCTTTCCCAAAAGTGGTTCTCATTCAAGCACCAGTGGACTGCAGTTTCGACCTCGCATCGGTCTTATCAAGACCCTCAACGGGAGTCGAACCGCGACAGTGCAGGATGGGAGCTTGACACGATAACCACTCGATGTGAGGTCGAAACTGCGGTCCACTGGTGCCTGGATGAGAACATCTTTTAGGAAAGCAAGGCTATGTAAAATTGAATGGAAACGTCAGCTTAACTCATATGATTGTGGGAAAATTCTTCTTCTACCAGTCCTTCATCACCTTAAACGAAATAGGGTTAATACATCTCATATTCCTATTACATTATTATGGAACTCCTCGAATATCAGCCATTCTTCATATATGCCAAAGGGTTTTGTCAAGAGATGGGCTTCAAAAATCACAGTCGAATCAAACTATATTAGGAAATCTTATACAAGATTAACTGACAATTTCGAAGCCTACTCTATACAAATAGAAGTAATGGAGTCGATTGCAAGGGCAAAACACAAGTTGGCCTCATTTGCATTCCCAGTACAAATGTGATATGGAAAAGGCCTAGCCTTACCTGAAATTCACGTCTCCTCTGCGACCCAGGTTTATTCGTGGCAAAGTATACGAAAGTATAGGTTGTATTACCGAAACCCAGGTTCGAGTCCAGCTGGGGCTGCTGATTAGAGTGGTTCAGCCGAGGTCGAAACTACAGTTTACTTCAGCCAAGATGAGAATACCTGCTGGGAAGCAAGGCCATGTGAAATTGAATGGAAACGTAAGGTCTACTCATTTCATTGACGAAAATATTCAACAATCAGGTCAACATGTGACCTAGAGTGAGTGGAAAACTTATTCAACATTTACTGATAGTTTAGAATAATACGCTATACGCAATTTTAGCTAGGCTCCTATTGTCAAAATGTCGGTCTCAGCGAGCAGTTGTACAGTTGAG